GAAATTATGTTTTAAGCCCGACACTAACAGGAAAAAAGTTTTGACAAAATCCCTGTAAACCCAGTTAAAAGGGAATTAACTGGGACAACAACTGAACATCTATGTCCAAAACACAGATCAAGAAAGAGAACACTTGGATGCAAAAATTGCCAACAAAGATACATGCAGATAATTGAAAAGAAGAAATACAGGTCAGCATTAGTTTCCTGTGGCTGCTGTAACAATTATCACAAACGTGGTGGCTTACGCAACTCAGATCTATTCTCTTACAGTTCTGGAGGTCGGAAGTCTGAAATGGGTTTCGCTGAATCAAAACCAAGGTGTCCCTTCGCCACACCCCCCTGGGAAATTCTAGGAGAGAATCCATTTTCTTTTCTATCTCCAGCCTCGAGAGCTGTATTTCTTGCATTCCTTGGCTTATGACCTCTTCCTCTGACTTCAAAGCCCGCAGCAGCAGCAAATATTTTGAAATTACTCCGTTTCCATGGGCATATCACCGTTTGCCCTCTCTGGGCCTCCTTGCTATAAAGATACCTGTGATTGATGGCTCGCAGGGCCCACCTAGATAATCCAGGATTATCTCCTCACTTTAAGACTCTTAATTACACCAGTAGGGTCTCTTTTTTCATTTAAGGCAACATTCACAGGTGCCAGGGATTAGGGCCTGGGTATTTTGGGGGGCCATTATTCAGCCGAACACAGCTAAAAATAGCATGTATGGTAGAGCGATACACACACATACAACTGTATTGTTAGGAATTGGTTATCTCAGCATGGTGGGGTTACAGGGTGCTTGTAAAAGGTCCCCTTTATATATCTTTGCATTGTCAAAGTTTTTATGGGATACATTTTACTAACGATCAGAAGAAATAGTAAAAAAAGAAATAAAATTACTTTTAATTTGGGAAAAAGGATTATAAAAGACTTTGTATTTTAGAACAGTTTTAGATTTACAGAAAAGTTGAGAGGATAATACAGAGAGTTACCTATACCATCATTTCCCCTCTTATAAACATCTTAAATCAGTATCATGATTTATTATAATTAATGAGCCAATATTAATACATCATCATTAACTAAAGACCATACTTATTTTTACCTAATTGCCTGTGACAGTTTTTCGGGCTTGTTTTTTCTGTTTGAATGTTTTGAGGCATACTAGCCAGATATTTTGTAAGATGCCCCTTATTGGAATTTGAATGATGTTTTTCTCCAGGTAAGACTGAGCTTCCAGGTTTTTGGGAGATAGAGCAGAGAGATAAAGAGCCACTTTCATTACATTATATCAGGGTCTATTATCAACATTATTTATCACTGTTGATGTTGGTCTGCATCACCTGGCAGCGATTGTATTTGTGAGGTTTTTCCACTGTACAGTTACTTTTTTGAGGCAGGAGGAGTTATGTTTCCCCTAAATGAGGGTAGAGAATCTATATAAATTATTTGGATGTTCTGGATGTTCAGTGTTTTTTTCTTTTAGATTGCATCAAGATGGCCATGTCAAATTTTCATATTTGAACATTCTCAAAGGCGTCTTTTAACCTGTATGAGACTCTGAGCATGGATAAGTTAATTTTAAGCCGAAGAGCTCTTGGAAATATGTGGTAACTCACCATTTTAGGGATGTCTGAAATTAACTGGGTGGTCTACCTTTTGTAATTTCTCAAAGGTTTTGTTCAAATACAAGTTAGATGAATTCTCTTACATATTGCACTTTATTCACAACAAATATAGCTGGACTTAAAGTTTCTATTGATAAAGGAAAAAGAATGTTAGATAAAAGTAACTTATGTTGATGGGAAAATATAGGTGTGAAATATACCGTACAAATAATTTTGCAGTTGGCCTTGTCATTCTCTTTTCCTTCCTTGAGAAATCCTGACCTTTGCAAGACCAGGTCTCTTACAGATTTCTAAAATGCCCTGTGGTTGTCCTTTGAAGTACAGTATCTGTCACATTTGCTATCATTTGCTGGATGGAGAGCTCCCTGGGAGCTGGGACCATGTGTCCTCTGCTCATTACTGTATCTCCCATGCCCACACACAGTAGGCATACAAATACATGTTAACCGACTGTCCGATGCTATTTTGGGCACTTCTAGAAATATAGGTGGTTAAATATTGGGTCACAGTTATCATAACATGATGCTGTGTGAAAAGGTAATACACAATAACAGAATTAAAGAAAAATGTGTATATATATATATATGTGTGTGTGTATATATATATATATATATATATATATATATATATATGAGGAAGATGAAGTAAATGTTGCAAAATGTTAACAGTGGTTACCTCTGGGTTATGAGATTATGGCTGGCTTTAATTTTCTTCATTGTTTTCCAGTTCTCTTCGAGGAGTTTATTATTTTATAATCAGGAAATATCAAGAACACAGTACCTACAACTTTTATAATTAGATAAAATGGTAAGCCCCATTATAAAAACAACAACAAAACAAACAGAACAGTTCAGTTCTAGTATGCACAAGAGCCCTTGAGGCAAGACAAGAAAGTTGCCAAGTCACTGACCTTCTCTAAGGCTACTTAAAAAGATCTCATCAAGACCAGTTCAAGTATTGTTTATCTAGTATTAATTTCTTTTTATTTTATTTTATTTTTTTTAGTGGTTAATTCTTTTTTTAAAAATTGTTTTATTGCTTAAAGTATTACAAAGAGTATTACATATGTCTCCTTTTTTTTTCCTGCCCTTTACAATCCCCTGGCTTCCCCTACCCCCCAGTGTCTTATGTCCATTGGTTATGCTTATATGCATGCATACAGGTCCTTCGGTTGATCTCTTATCACCCCCCCTCCTGCCTCCCAACCCTCCCCGGCTTTCCTGCTGTAGTTTGACAGTCTGTTTGAGGCTGCTCTGCAAAAATATTGTTCATAAGTTTATAATGGTCTTTATTATCCATAAATGAGTGAGATCATGTGGTATTTTTCCTTCATTGACCAGCTTATTTCACTTAGCATAATGCTCTCCAGTTCCATCCATGCTGTTGCAAATGGTAAGAATTCCTTCTTTTTTACAGCAGCATAGTATTCCATTGTGTAGATGTACCACATTTTCTAGTCCACTCATCTGCTGATGGGCACTTAGGCTGTTTCCAGA